GCTTTACACTCACCCAAGGAATTTCAAAGACTTCAAGGGAATACAGGCTATGTAATAATTCATTTGACTTCCAGGAAATTTCTTTTAGTCTAAGGAACTGCTTTTTACTAAATGATTCAGAAATTCAAAATGGTCTCTAGGGGAAAAAAGTGGGGGGAACCCTAAGTCATCTTGGAAGATAAAGGAGGTGTATCTTGCTGAGCTAAATTAAGTTTACTTGTAAGTAAAGAATACAGTATTTGCAATGTTGTGAGCTAAAGGATGGATAGTGCCCCCTCCCCCCCAATAATACAGAAAACAGAACACTGTTGCAAAATGAAATGTCTAGAATTGCACAACTCCATGTGAATATGCATTAATGTGATCTGGATCTTAATAAAAGGCTGAAGGCCTCACACATGCAAACATAAGTAATATTTAACTATGAAAATATACGTTTGCAGGATCTTGATCTAAGTTCTACCAATTCTTAACTCCCATTCACTTCACTGAAGATGCTAAGCAATTTAAGGACTTGTTAGGTACATTAAGGTGTAGGATCTGGCCCCACATCAAGAAAATACAATTACTGAATTACGGTATTTTTAAAAAATCAGCTACATTATGATATAGCAAAGAAAGACAACGCCTCAATTGATCTGTGTCTGGAACCAAAAAATGATTTTCAGTGTATGTATTTTTTTTTACAAACTGGAGGCTCTTTTGAAGTGGAAGCCTTTTGGAAACTCTGAATGAAAAGAATCTGGTACTACTAATGCATCTTCACACATAATCATAACACTTTCCCCCACTCTGCTCCTGGAGAAATGTTTGATTACTGTATTCTTAGAATAAAAAAATATTATCCATCCTTACTTAAATCCTGTTTAAAAACAGAATATTTTGGCTCGTTGTAGTGAATAGAACTTCTAATCTTCCAATAAAAATTACTTAATTTTTTTCCTAGAGACTATTTTGAGTAATTCCATCATTAGAAAAGTCAACCTATCATTTTAGCAGAACTAATGAGTCGTCTGCCTGAACATATGATCAGTTTTCCATCCCAAAACCCTCACAATCAATTGGAGTGGTGTCTAAAGTTACCTGCTAAATTATTATTTATATGGTGCTGTGGGTGAGCAAGGTGATTCACTGGAAAGATAAAAAGACAAGCCCCTGCTCTCGGGTATGTGCATTAGGTCATGAGGGCTATGATACAACTAGACTGAACTTCTAGGCTCAGCTTTGTAGGAGGGGATGGCACACAGTGGTACCACACCAGAAAGGCACTGGGCAGGAATTTGACTCAAGCTACAGTTTCTTCCCTTCCCTTGCTCTTCAGAGGGTGTAGTAGTCCTTTCCCCACCTTGTTCTGGCTCAGTTGTGCTGGCCAATTCAAGGGAGGCATTGAGGAGTCCCTCCCATTTCCTTTTCCCCTGTACCTTTCCTGGCCCACCTGCTTGGAAGGAGAATTCTGTACTGCAGTTTTTGCTATGTTCCCCACACCCATGTTGTGAGGCAGGGGGAGCTAAAAGGGGCATATAAAAATTAAGGTTTTATTCTTCCTTTATTCCTCTGACCAGTCACATTTGCCTGGGTCACAATTTGACAAGAAATAAATATAAAATGATGGGATTTGCCATTGAAATATTGGGAAACTTATTAAACTATTACTTAGCTGGCAGCTCCGAGCAGGTTACACACTGCCTCCAAATACAGTAAAACTCTGATGGTCCGGCATCTGATGGTCTGGCACTCCTGATGGTCCGGCACCATCAGGAACCCGGAAGTGCTCTGGGCAGCAGGACCATTGGAGCTGCTCTGTCCCCAGCTTCCTGGATTCAGCCGCTGCTAAAACTGACCAGCGGCTGACTCCAGGAAGCCCAGGGCAGAGCAGCTCTGACTTGGGCTTCCTGGAGTCAGCCGCTGATCAGTTTCAGCAGCGGCTGGCTTGGGGATGGCTGGGGGAGAGCGCAGCGCCAAGGGTTGGTGCTACCGGACAAAGCCGGCAGCACTCCAGCTGCTCCGCTGCCGATTCAGCTGCTGCTGAAACTGACCAGCAGCGGCTGACTCAGGGACGCCTGGGGCAGAGCCGGACTATCGGAAGGGGGGGCTATGAGGGGACTGGGGCCAGACCCCTCATAGCCCCCCCTTGTGATAGTCCAGCATATCTGATAATCCGGCACCCCCTGGGTCCTAAAGGTGCCGGATTATCGGAAGTTTACTGTATTGAATGGATAAACGTACACAAATGCATGCTCGTAAGTCTATTCTCCCACTGAAATGTGGAGGACTTAGCATTAATGTTAATTCTATGACTAATTCTGTGATGCATATGGACCTTGCTGTGAGGGGGGAGTAGAAAGGATTCCAGTCTGTTTATATCTGAGATACAAATTAATCGAGGACTACACTTGTACTCTCTTTTTAGAGACCTAGAGAGGCTGGTTACTTAAATGAGACTAGATAGCAATAATAAAGCAATTAGCTGCAACCATTTATTGGGAGCAATAATCAAAACACACAGCTAATTATGCCATTTCATTATTAGTTTAAAATGTAATTCTATGTACAGCATTTCATATGAAAGGTAAAATTTGAAAGCTGACATGTCTCCTTGCCAAGTATAGCTCATAAAGGGAATATATGTGCTTGGAAGAACTGGTGGCTTTAAGTTCACTGTGCATGCATGTTCAGATCTTTTCATTCTTACAGTATTTTACTCATGTCTCTGTTGTGTCTCCTGAAGGAATACTGTCATTCCAATATGCAGTGATTTTAGGTCTTGGGCAGTTCAAGCACCTCCCCACTGCCATGTGTGGTGTGCCTGAACTGCCACCCTGATGCAGGAGAGAGAGAGCAGGTCTATAGGGTCACTGTTGGCTCCACAGCCCTGTGTAATAGTTGGCTGACAAAAGCAGAGAGATGGGGAATAACGGGCCTTCTTCTCTACATGCCAACCAGAGGCTGAGCCAGAGTGAAGGAGAAATTAACATTTAAAGAGCTATTGTAAACCACTTCTCTCATAATGGAGCAAGGAAGAATCCCTTCCCGAATTGCTCCTGAGATGGCATAGGCATGTACCTCCCCATACATACATTGTTTACAATTCTTGTGAACAGCTTGTCTTACATTTAGTATTTTAAAACAATATCTGTGAACTATACCCACATATATTTAGAAAAATGTTGTGCATAGGGTCTAGTCAGGCTTGGTGGCCAAAAGTGGGTTGTTGGGTTTTTTTGTTTTGTTTTGAAGAAGTGGAAAAGCTAACAAGGCTGGAGCACCCTGTGGGGTGGAAAATTGCCTATGCTGTAAAATAGTTCAGCGTGGAAGGACTCACTAGGCTTCTGATGGATATTCATGTAGTTCCGGAGGTAACACAATGTCCCTATGGTATACAACATGCTATAACAGTTTCACAGCTATCATCTTGGTCTGCAGCCAATGCACTCCATTCAAATGGTGCAGTATGTTACAAGGAACTAATTTTTACAAAATGATATTTTTAGGGTTGCCAGATGGTTTAACCAAAAATACTGAACACCTCCCCCCCCCCCCCAAAAAAAAAAACCCACCAGGGAAAAAATTCCATTGAGGGGAAGAAAAAAAAAAAAGACCCCAAGAGTTGTTAAGCAAAAAACAAAACAAACAAACAAACAAAAACCCAGTATGCCCCCTTTAAGAAATGCTTTTGAGGCTTTTTGGCCCTAACAGGCTGCCGGCAGCCATCTGCCCTCTTGTCTCCCTGCTCCGGGCCAGACAGCTCCCCTGCGGAACATGGTAAGCATCCGGGATTTTCGCCTCCTTGCTGGGAAAGAATCATTTTCGGTGTCCGGTATTGTCTGAATTTTTTTTTCCAGACAGGAGGCGAAAATACCGGACTGTCCCGGTCAATACCAGACACCTGGCAGCCCTAGATATTTAAATGATTTATCAATAATCTACTGAAAAATCCTTTAAGTTTACAGAAATTCA